ATAATGGAATTCTGGTGAAGTCAACACCCCGGACAGAAAAAAGTGTTGACTTTGAGCAAGGTTGACTTTATCCATTGTACTACTGGCCATTGAAAATTGAAGATGACAGCAACAAAATTACAAAGTACATGGTAATAAACAAGATGTAATCTCAATTTCAGGGAGTATAATTCTAAAAGCTGTCACCAAAACAAGAGATAATGAAAGAACAAAGTAATTGGAGGTGTGTACACCACTCGCTCAGGCGAGATTTCTCTTCTTTAATGAATTCATCTTGGGATTTAGCCCCAAATTGTTGACATTAAACAAGCTTAATAAAATTATGTTGTTAAAATTTTTTTCCTGGTTATTCTTTCACCTCACAAAAGTGTAATATTACATTAGTTCAAGCCCCCTCCCCCCCCTTCTTACACTTTTGTTACAGGAGCTAAAGACCTCCCTCCCTCCCCCTCCCCCCTCCAAGGCCTAAGATTATATTTGAACGGCCCCTTTACATTCGATCAATATAACCAAGAAAACCGTCTAGTAAAAAGAGTGACTGAAACTGAAAAGAAACGTTGCATGGTGTGTATGTGCGTGTGTATATGTGCGCACGCGTGTGTGTGTATATGTGTGTGTATGTGTGTGCGTGTGTGTGAGAGTGTGTGTGAGTGTGTCGGTGTGTGTGTGTGTGTGTGTGTGTGTGTGTGTGTGTGTGTGTGTGTGTGTGTGTGTGTGTGTGTTTGCTTGTGTGTATAAATACACATCTGAACCATACACCAGTACCGTCAAAACAGTTCTTTAACTTTAACATGTTTTATTTAGTCCTCAATGAGATGATCAAACGATCTGACAAAATTGCCACCGCAGCACCATCGACAGTGCGTATATTCAGATAATATTATTGTTATTATAAAGAGATTACATATCGTACAGTAGGCCCTTCTTCACCAACATTTTACGGAGTGTCTATCGGGGGATCGGGTCGGGTTGGATCGGTTTGCTTGTCAGATTGAGGGCCCAAAGCGGCTATCGCGGCACAAGCCGACCGCGTCCGACTCGTCGCCTCAAAAACAAACGCGTTTGTTTCTAGTTCTTTCTAATAATAAAAATAATAATAGATAGCATTTGTATAGCGCATATCCCCGCTCAGCAGCAGGCTCTATGCGCTTTACACTATATTCTAGGCGACGGGTCGGGCGATCATCAGGCCCCGATCCGACCTGCAATGGGCGCAATATGCTCGATTTTTCCCCAACACGCAGCCTGTCTCGTTCTTGGAATACACACGGTAAAAAAAAGACAAGGGGAGGGGGGGGGGGAGCGTTTTTACACGTGGTCAGTAATTGTTTATTTTAGTAGAGGTTTTACGGTGCTCGCAACTGCATAAGGACATATGAGCGCCAGAAGATTAGAGGGGTTACACGAGAGTAACAAGCATAAAAAAGAAGGAGGGGAGATAAGGACGATAGATGTTTGATAGGAAAAAAGTAAAGAAGAAGCAAACCACACCAGAGCACCCACCAACCACCCACGTCAGTAATTGTAATTGTAATTGCAATACAGCTCATATATTGTCACATAATAATGGTATCAAGAAGCAAGACACCCCCCCCCCCCCCCGAGAAAAAAAAGAAAAGAAAAGACTCATTAAGTCTCGAACTTCGACCTCAGTCAAGTCAGTCAACTTCATACCTATTGCCCAGGCCAAAATCTTGAACGTGCGTGTTATAGATTGTATAGATTGTATCAATCAGCGTTGGGAGAGCGGTCTGTTGTATTCTTCCTCGTCTCATATCTTCATGTTCTGGTGTTCATCGATATCGATGATGACTGTGTAATGGTGATTTTTTTAAAAAGCCAGACAAGAACAATTATGGGCCAAAAGGCCACCTGGCTTGGATATATATATCTTTCACATTTTACCTGTAATTGTACTGAAAATATGGCTATGGTGGTCTGCAATGTCGGAGTCTGGCTTTGCGCGAGTTTTTAAAGTTTTAATTTTAGGACATGTACATAATGTGGTGTCTTGCCTTCTACTTCTTTGTTCAATTCAGCCCTGGTCCGTCAAACTACTGCAATTGTCGCACGCCATTCTAGCAGACGATCTGTGACATCTTTTCCTTCGGATGGTTTCGTCTATGTGTACCTAACAAGAGCCCTGGCTTCGCATGTGGCCTTTGACTTTGACTTGCTGTCCTAGTGGCGTGGTTTGCCAACCTCTTTTTCAGCCTCCTTCACAGAGACCTCTATGGAAAACATCCTTATAGGGTGACCGAAATCTGGCATTCTTGTCATATGACCAGGCCATCACACAGGTTGTTGGGTTTTTTTCCTTGTTTGTTTTTTTTTGTTTATATTCTTTTTTATGTTTGTGTTTTTACCCCCACCCCCTTCCAAACCAATCAACACATTTTAGACCATTTAAGAGGCAGGCCCATGCTCAGATGCAAGAAAAGACCAAGGAACTCAACAGCCTATCAAGGAGTGTTGGCCTACGTATACATCCAGGCAAGTCAAAAGTAGTGAAGCTAGGAAAAGTTTCAAACCTTGCTGTGACAGTGGAAGACACTCCCCTTGAAGAAGTGGACTCCTTTACCTACCTTGGAAGTGTCATCGATGGTAAAGGTGGAACCGAGGCAGATGTTAAAGCAAGAACCGCCAAGGCAAGGTCAGCCTTCAAGCAATTATCAAAAGTCTGGAAAGCAAGCAACATCTCACTGCGCACCAAGATTCGACTTTTTAACTCCAACGTCAAGTCTGTGCTCCTCTACGGCTGCGAAACTTGGAAGACAACGAAGACAGTACTGAATAAGGTCCAGACTTTCATCAACAGATGTATGAGGAGTATTTTAAGAATTAAGTGGCAGGAAAGAATAAGAAATGAAGAGCTGTGGGAAAGGACAGGACAAAAGGATATAGAAGTAGAAATAGGACTAAGAAAGTGGCGATGGATGGGACACACCTTAAGAAAGCCCAGCGGAAACATCACAAGACAGTCACTGCAGTGGAACCCACAGGGAGCACGAGGCAGGGGTAGGCCACGGGAAACATGGAGGAGATGCGTGGAAAGGGACATGAGAGAAATGAAGCTCACTTGGAACGAGCTTGGAAGGATGGCTCAGGACAGAGATAAATGGAAGGAGCTTGTATGTGGCCTATACCCTGCCAGGGGTGAAAGGCATTGATGATGAAGAGGCAGGCCTCCGACCCACCTTGTCAGGGCCAACCCAGGCTGCGAGAGAGCTTCAACATCCCAGCAAAAAGACAGAGAGATACTCAATTTAAATGTTCTCCCGACTTGGGAATGGACGAACTCAGGTCTCACGAGTGCGACAGCAGAGCACCAACCGCTACGTCACAGACGCTGGTCATCTCATCAGCGAGGCCATAACGTGTACCGGGGTACCATGACTTACGTTTTCAGCCCTAGCTCGTTACAGAACTTCTATTACTATGTTCGTTACAATGTACCTTCTCTCATCTAATTCCAAGCAGCTGTCTTAGGTGACGGAACAGTATTCCTGTGAGCTTTTTGAGTGGACTGCATTCATGATTCAGGGTCATGCATCCAGTGCGATATAAAACCACTGGAAGGAAGAACAGCTGTGTTGTTACTGTTGATCTTTGTGGCCAGTCTGAGTTTCTTGTCGACAGCTCTACACACTTTTGCCGCGGCTGCTCGTATTCTGCTGTGAACTCCCACATCTGATGAGAGTTCGTGTCTATCACAGCTGCGCTTCCCAGATACGAGAAACATACAAGTGTTTTTTTAAAAAGAAACACCTTTTTCTATTGACAACAATGTGGGGAGGAATCTCGTCAGGTTCTAAAAACAGTAGGCCTACATGTACAGTACTTATTACATTCACAAATCCCCCCCCCCCCCCCCCAACCATTGATCAAAACCAAGCCGTGCTGCGAACTGTTGTGGATGTTACCAACTTGTGATTCGTGCGCTCATAAAATGACCTTATGCAGTTGCGAGCGCTGTAAAACTTTTACAAAACTACCCCCGCCCACACACACTGACACAAACCTTCTGTGCGCACCCTCATTTTTCTTCCTCTCCCTCCTCTGGCGCTCTTCAAGAGAACAGTTGAAGGTGACAAAGCAATACAACAGCAGCCACATCGTCACAACACTTCCAATATAAAGCAGAAGCAGACCAACAGGAGAGCCGACCACGCACTATACGCATATATATAGCTTGTTCACTTTCGTCTGGCCGCAGTAAAAATAAGATAAATTTATGAAATCGCTCTGTTTAATTAATCTTCCTAGATCTTTGCAAAGGGTCTAAAACAAAGTTGAAAAGATGGATGACAAACAGAAACTAAAAGCCCATTCAGAAAGGCCACTGCAAACTAAGGTTCAAAGACGTTTTCTTTGATATAGGCACATAAGCCTAAACAGGTAAAAAAAACTTTGGAGGGATTTACAGCACACACCTAACATGAAGACATAAAAAAAGATGATATAGAATCTATTTTCCGCAACAACACACTTTAACTTTCGCCTGAGGAGAACCCGACAAGCGCGATTCAAGAGACCGGATCAAAGGGTGAGTAATTTTCGAGACTCACGCGGAAACGTCAAGATAGCGGGATTAAATCTTCAAGCTTGCACTGAAATGAGGTGCAGGGTGGTGTCGATGTCTAAAGATGAGCAATTTGTATTTGTAGGCAAAGAAGCATTTATTTTCGTGATCCTGTGTATGCATCCAAAGAGCGGTTTTTAAAAGGGCCCAAGGAGAAAAACTTTTTTTATTACACCGGATCAAGAATTTAGGAGAAAAAAAATTTTAATTGGTCGGTGGCCTGCAGAAGTGCCATGCTAAGTTTCAAGGGCATTGGTAAATTAATAAATGAGCTATAACTTTTTTTTTAGTGCAGACAGACGGAAGAGAACAAGCTATAGATCTAGTTGAGATTTAAAGAACAACATCAGATAATTATTATATTTAGTCTTTGTGACATCACAAAATGAGCCCACAGCAACTATACCAAAACACAGAATCTGTTTAGGTTGTGTTTATTTACAATTCAAGTGAAATAAGTGAGCCACTGGGCTTCAGACCCATTTATAAATGGTACTCATGAACATGTTTACAAATCAATGTTACACATTTCTTTAAAAACAATTCTCAAGATCTCATGCCAAGCACACATTTTTAGAAAATTAGAGAATGTGTGTACCGGTAGTCTGAGGTATGCTCTACCAGTGAGGAAACAACCCTCTTCATTTGTCAAATCATGGTTAATATAATAAAAGAACTTTTCTGTTTACCAATAACGAACAGTGCATGTTCAGAAAGATCATCCAAGTCACACGGCTGTCCAAAATGGTCATGTTATTATTTATTCAAAAGAAGGACTAAGGTTTACAAATTTGGATGCCAATTTTCAGTCACAGCTCAAGGACCAAACCACGGCAATGCCCCCCCCCCATACTATGACACGTGATTTGAGTTGAATAGTATTATGATCACATTCTAACAAGTGAAACAATGCTCAATGAGCTAACCCAGTCGCGATTCACACACATTGCTTGAGTAAAGATTAGCACATCAACACAATATTTGTGACAATAGATGGTCATTTAGTGTTGGGTAAAAGTCAGACAGACAGACAGACAGACAGAAACAACAGAGAGAAGATAAAGAAGTAGGACCTACCAGTGGTGCCCTTCAGCCATCCGTGGGTTCACACACACCAGTAACTCGAGAGTTTATTTCTCTCAAAAGAAGATAGAAAGATAGTGAAAACATACAGACAGGTTGTCATCATTTTCATAAGATAAGAATTTAATAAACGCAGCTTACACATTCCAAATCATGCACACAATTTTTGGTAAACCATCAATACAATCCAATTATATATTTATACTCACAACACACAACAGAATCTTGTTAATGGCACAAAAATGAGCAAACTTTTTTTATAGAGGTATTAAATCTATTTGGACTTTTTGGAGCCCTTGAGTATCTGCTCGTTTTCATCAGTGTACCCAGCACGTGGGTCGTTCCATTCGACGAACCAATAGCCTATCAGCATCAGCAGAATCGACACACCTGGGAAAAGAACAGGGTATTTAAAGTTAAAAGTAAAATTGTTCCCGCATCCAATCCAGACATTGGGGATTGCCTTGTTAATGAGACAAATTCCTGGGCCTTTGGCATATTGTGCTAGGGCGGCCAGTTCCTTTCCACCCCGCCTTTATTTCCCCAACTCGAAGTCAGGTACCCATTACTGCTGGGTGGGCAGGAGTGGGGAAAAAGAATCCTTGTCCGAACCGAGGCTCGAACCCGGACTTTCAACTTCGGAGACGAACGTACTAAACGCTCCGCCACTGCACCCTCTGAATATAAAATAAAGAATTTTTTAAAAAATTTTAAGAGCAAAACATCAAATTTTTACAGGGGACGAATACGAAAGCCGTCTTTTCTCTCTTTCTTTATTTTTCAGCGAAACACACCTATGCGGCTTGATTTAAGGCAAAACCCTTTTATGGGAAAAGGGATGAACCAACACAATTGTAAAACGAATGCAGAGAGAAACGACTTCGGGAAGAACAGAAGAGAAAAAATAATTGCTCAACAATGCCATCTAGAAACAGCAAAATTTTATACATCTGAAACACAAAGCAAAAACAGTGAAAAAAATATGGAGGAAAAGTAATTTAAAGATAAAATAACGGAGGAAAAGATAAAGGGGACTTGACCTCTTCTTTGAGCACCCAGCACATGTTACATAATGAAAATATGTAATTTCTAGCTTTGAGCCACAGGGTTGCCTATATAAGTATAAGAAGTAACATGTACGTCACACTAATCATCTAGCTCTAATTCTTCTGTATGGAGATTTACACAGCAACTATAGCATGGATTGGAATTAAAGAGTTAAAAAATGGGCATACTGGTACCAAATTTGTTAATATTAGTACTTTACTGCAAGGCTAGCAAGCGATCGATTAACTGGGAAATAACCTTGCAGACGAAAGCATGCTCTTGCAAAATGTAAACACCCAAGTCACTTTAAAAAAGGCAGCAAATTTCACTTATTTACTAAGATTTGCAAGTTATGGGGACGAAGAAGGCGAAGACTGCAAGCCTCCTGTTAACGAAGGGAAGTAGGAAATGCCTTCATGACAATGTGAAAAAAGGACAGTAAGACTTGTCCTACAGACAGGTAAAGTTTCTATTATAATGTAATAATAGGAGCAATATTCCCCACGACACAAAGATGAATAGTCTAAGAGTAAGAGAAAAACAACAAAATCTCAATGCCAATAACCCATTAAACGATATAGTATAAACATAGCTTCTTACTTGAAACAATCACCGGTGCTATGATGCCAGCAGTGAATGCTGCTGTCTTGTAGACAAACACTTCAGAGAGAAAGTGAAGCTGCGCCAGGAAAAAGGAAAACAGTGTGGTGTGATACAGCCTGAAATACAGCATAGATTAGACAATTGTGTTAGATTGATTTGTCCTTGTTCTACATTTGAGTCTATAGATATAAAGCAAGTACATACTGAGTTCACAAAATAGACTACCGTACTACATACAGTGAAAAACACGCTCAAAATCCAAACCTCCCATCTGTTTCCAAAAATAAGTAGTTTTGCTGTAGTTGATGCTAATAAGGAAAACAATTTTTTCTTTGGGAATAATGAGGGAAAACTGGATTCCAGTGGAGCAAACTGAGCCTTGGGGCTTATTCTCTATGAATATACAGTTAAACCTGTGTAAGACGGCCACCCATTGTCAAGGAGGAAAGTGGCCGTATAAGACAGGTGGCCGTCTTAGGCAGGACTGATCAAGAAAAAAAAAACCCATTCAGATCTGAGGCCCCTATCGAAAGTAGCCCCATTATGTTGTCTTTGTTGGTGTTGTTGTTGTTAGTTTGTATTTCGTTTGTAAATTTTATTTTGTTGCTGATTTTGCACAAGGGTGACAATAAAACGAAATGTATCAGACAAGGAAGACTGAGTGCCATGTTAAAACAAAAACATGGGTCGCCACCACTCGGAGAACGAGTGACGCTTCTGTAACAAGTCCATGTTGACGTTCTTTGTTACTTTGTTACAGACTGGGTAAACAGTAACCACTCATCTCAAGATTTGTGTATGAGTTCTGGGCGGGGCTTATGGGTTATGAGGGATCACACGCTTACCTCACCAGCAGCTGAAAATTGGTAGCTATTGGTCAACATTGGGAGGGGCCTACGCAACATGATCGGTTGGAGGGACTACCTAACAACAACGACAGGTGATTGAATTTTGACAGCTCGCCCACAACGCCAGGGGCCAATGCACAATTTATGACAAAACGTAATGGAGTCACTAAGGTGACCGTCTTAGACAGGTATTATTGCTTAGTATGATAGGGGTTGTGTGTTAAATTATGGTGGCCGCGGCCGCGTTGGACAGGTGCCCGTTTTACACAGTTAAATTATATAGAAAAAACGCAAGGGGGGAAATGGAAAGTGGCCGTTTGTACAGGTGGCCATCTTATAGAGGTGGCCGTCAGGGCAGGTTCGACTGTATATGAGAAATGAAATTTGTGAGGTAATGGATCTGTTTTTCTTACCTTTTTACTCAAGCCATTCCTCCCTTGGAAAAGACCTATTTTGTGTTTTATTCTGTTGAGTCAAGTTGACTTTTGCCCATTCTTGCTTTGTCCATATGAGATAAATAAGGACACAGAACAGATATACAGAATCACAGAATACATAATCTAGTCAGTTTCTCTTTCTCAGTTCCTTGGAACTGTTATTCATGACCATGGTACAGTGGAAACCTGATATAACAGGGATGGTGGGAGTAGAGAAAATGTCCTGTTATATCCGATCTCTGTTAAATCAGAAATGCAAGAAAAGTAAACATTTGTGGACTAATCCAACTGTACTTATTCATGGGTAGTTTCCCTTGCCACAAGTACCCACGAACAGAGGTTTTGGCACCAATTTTCTCCTTGCCTCCTTAAACCACATCAGAAGAGCTTGGTCCACAGCATCTGCATCGGGTAGTCTCATCTTCTTTCGATCCACAGCAAACTTCCCATTGGAGTATGCTTCCACTATTTTCTCTCTATCCTTGATAATGGTGTGAATCGACCCTTGTGGAAAGTCAAACTGACGACAAACCTCTGCCAGTCGAGCTTGCTTTTTGTCAACAGCCTAGATTATTTCGTATTTTTTGTCAGTTGAAAGGCATTTTCTCTAGCGCTTGACATTGCTGGTGACACATTACGCGCATGTGTTGCTAGGTTTCGGGCTAGATCGAGGTCTGCAGCACACAGCAGCCCTCTCTCGCTTCACACGCTGCGTGTGCTTGCAGTGGCATGGCTTGCATGGGCTTGCTCCATCGCTGCGTTACTCTCTCTCTCTCTCTCTCTACAAATTGTTAACGAGCCTTTGTCCCTGCTATAACCGGTTAGGCTCCGATGAGGCCCTGTTATTGCCTATAACTTTTAATAGAGACAAAGAGTAGGAAAAAACGGGGATTTAAAAAATCCCTGTTATTACCGGATCCCTGTTATTACCGGGCCTGTTATATATGTTTTCCACTGTAACTGTAATCTAACATCATAATGCATGGCTCATGAAAAGAGCGTTATTATTATATGTATAAAACTGTTCGAGCTTTTAAGCTCAATTATTCCCAAGAAGGTCACACATGATACATGTATAGTATAGGGAAGATATAAGGCATTTCATTCTATCAGTTAGAAGTCTGATGTGCTCCTCAGTCTCTGTACTTTCTCCCACATTTCCCTTATTCATTTTACCACCTGATATTCCAGCTCCTGATCAGACAACAATACGGGATGCAAAGCAGCCTTTCAAAAAGTCTTTCACTGGCCAAGTTTGTACCATGTAAGTGTAAACAATCCTACAAATTAATTTCTCTCCGGAAAAACAAACCACGATAAACATGCAGACCTCAACACAGAATAGCGGTTACTGAATATCACAGAGTGAAGCAGTACATGTATATTTGTCATTGATAGCTAATTTGTACAATGCAGCACACAGCAAACCATGGGAAAGCCTTTCATCACTCATATTTCGTATCGGATGGCTTGTCCTGTCCCTGCTGCAGTGTATCTCTGTATCCAGGTGCAAGAACTCAATTCCCCCCACCCCCCCCCCTCCTTAACTTTAGGTCTGTCCAACCCTCCCTAGCTCCCCTCACAAAAAGCCCCACCACTCATTTCCCCCCCCCCCCCCCCCTCCCACCCACAAAGAACAAAATATCTCCTGGATCCACACTAGAAAAAGGCCTACCACCCACACATCACATCTCTCTTCAAATAAAGCTACAAGGCTTAAGGAGAACATATATGATGCTGAACTTTTCTATGTCAAGCCATCTCTGTGCACACAATGGAGCACATAAATGACATTAGGATGTAAATAAAATGCTAAGGCCTAATGCCACTCTACAGTCAAGTGAGAAAACTTGGTATGGAGGGGGCGGGGGGAGGGAGCCGTCATACATACACTCTGTTTTCAATGTGTAAAGCACACAGTAGACGTAAACCTCCAGCCAACAGAGTCCACACACCGAACAGACGTGCTGTCAATCCAGACACTGAGCGAAAAAATAAGCAACAAACAAGACTGTTAAATTCAAAGCCTTGTTTTCTTAGATTCATGGTAAAACAAAACTTTAAGTAAGAACCAGACACCTCAGTAGACCTACTAGAATCTAGAATCTAACAGACAGATCCCAAAAGAAGTGACACAGGGAATGTAAACTGCCATCCCAAAGCAGATGAAACTGAATTTCATTTTTTGATTTGTTGGTTAGTAACACTAGTCTCATCCATATTATTCCTTCTTGTGTCAATGGCAGGACAATTTGTGAGACAGCGTGGTGGAATCAGACTCTCGTCAAAATAACCAAAGTGAAGAAACTTGCATTTTTCCACAGGTTTGTGAATTTTTATATAATTTTTGTTTTTTGGCTCAACACCTTTCATGCCCAATTAAAGAACTATTAATTTCTGTGCGGATTTTTCTGAAAAACGTCGATTAAAGGCATAAAAAATGTAAATTTTCAGTTACCACTGACTCTTAAGCTAAGGAAATAACTAATCTTTGGCGGCCGTTTTCTCACTAATTTTACCTCTGAAAACAAGTGACCCCCACCTCCTTTCGCAAATGTCTCGACTTGTATTCAAGATAAATGGATATTTTTTTCATACAAATACAGACAAGGGAACAAGCTTTAAGATGATACCAATAACTCTAAATGCCCAAAAATTGATGAGAGCCTGATTCCACCACGCTGCCTCACATTTACTTACATCCAAAATAGTAGGGGTTTTTTTCAAAATGGTGAGTAACTTGAAAGCAATTGATCCCAATAAGTAGCATTAAAAGAGCATTTAGCATTTTTCTCAAAATCATGAAAAATGCAGCTACGTCATTCTGCCTTTGGATGGTAGTATAAAACTTTCTCAAATATGATCCTGCAGGGAAACCTTTACAAAATAAATTAAGATTTCATACACATTGATATCAACATACATTAAATCTACAACTCTGCTGAAGTCAAGAAAATCATTCCAAATGAGATGGTAATTTTTTTGTGACAACACATGACATAGGAAAAATATTATCATACTTTTGAAATAGGTTTCCATACTCTACAAAAATGACTTACTATGACTTACTGTTCTTCACTTTTTCTTCACACCATTTAACCTCAAGACCTACTGTAAAGGTCTACTCAGAAAACATATTTTATGATCACCATATAATTGCATTTCATGCAGCGAAAACTCGTTATACCACCAACCATGGGATGAGCATAAAGTTGGCGGTAAAGCAGAGCTGGCGCTATAACAGGTTTCTATGCTGTCCTCTGTTAAATAGCAGTGGAACTCAGATTCAACGAGGTCGTCGGGCCTGACCTAAAATCTCGTTGAATCAGAGTGTTCGTTCAAACATGTGGTTTTGTATAGATAATTACAGGCACTGAGCAGTGATGTATAAAGAGAAGTAACAAGTGGTGCCTGAAATGCTTGCATATTATGAGCTGTGCAGAATCTGAGCTTGCTGATTTAAGTGTTCATTGAATCCAGTTATCTTTATTGATCTTAAAGAAGAAAAAAAATGGAGAATCCGCCTCCTTTCGTTGAATCCGAGTTCCACTGTAGCCACGACTGCCCGATGTCTAGGGAAATGATTCTGCTTTTATTCCTCCTACAAAATAATACCATTTATAATGAGATGGGAGTGTTTCTATAATATAAATCAACCGAATTTTTTAACCATAATTTGAGGTTTTGCAAAAATTAGGTTTGATGTCTTGCTTGCTGAGCATCAAACATCACATGATCTTTGAAAAGTAATCATTTAAAGCACCAGAAGTAATCGTCGGTGAAGCCATATCCACACTCCATAGTTATCGTTGAGGCCAAACAAAACCGGATTCAGATCTAGTCTACATCTAGATTCTAGACCTATAATAATATTTATAATATAGCATTTGTATAGCCCATGTCCCCACTCGAATGCAAGCTCTATGCGCTTTACACAAAGCTTATATTATTACCCCAGCAGACCATAGAACACTCAGAAACATCGAAGTGACTATTCGGACTCGAGTCCGAATATGAAAAAATTTTATTTGGACTCTGATTCTTGTCCAGCATGACATCACTGCCGACTTCCTGTGACTCGTGACTCTGGCTTCCTGTCCTGCCTCACTCGTGACTCGCCTCAGGCTGGGTAGAGACCGGGATCACTTCGGGCAAAATGGTGCTAAATTGTGCAGGAGCCGAGTTTTTATCTATGATGAATTTGAGGCCAGCCTGAAAAGTTATAGCACTTCTAATAAATGTTTATTTGTCAAGAGGTCATCAGAAGCAATTAAAGATGGCTCGTTAGCATGTGTCGGGGTCGGATGGGCGGCCTGCACACGTGTAGCTGTGTGTGCGTGTTGGGGAGGGGGGGGGCACTATCGGTCCGGGCGTTGAACGTTGCATACGCGTCAGTCTCTCCCCCCCCCCCCCCCCGGCAACTGATCATTATTACAATAATAAGCTGGTCTTGACGTAGATCTACGTAATGAATTGTGCGCTGGTCTATGGAATCAAAAGTTGCCGTATGCTCGGCTCTACACAGCAACACAACTTATTCTTGGTAAAACAATCGAGATGACACAGGCTTGTGTATTTGAACGAATTGGTCTTCTTTTTTACACAGCTCATAATATGCAGGTGCCAGGTGATCTGCTAATCTTCAATTTTACCTTTTTCTACAACAAGAAAGTGGGAAACATGGGGGGTGGGGGGGGCGTATCAATGAGGGGGCGGGCATCGGATCGGCAGATAAAGGGTGGGGGAAACTAAAAAATGGCGGAAAATTGGAAGCACTGAACGTTAGATATATACTATAGACCGAAGACACTTCCTTTTTCCCGGACCGTATCCGAATAACATTTTTTCATATTCGGACTCAAGTTCGAATATGAAATTTTTTTTATTCTGACTCGAGTCCGAATATGAAAAAATGTTATTCGGACTCGAGTCCGAATAATGACGGCCCAGAAATATTCTCAGCTTCCCGGGAAGCATACAGTGCAAGCAGCTGGTTAGGCACTCAAACACTAACAAACTGATGAGATCTTTCATTGTCTAGATCTAGATCTATAGCTGGGTACCCATTTTCACAACGGTGAAGTGGGGAAAATTCGGGTAAAGTCAAGTATTAATCTAGATATCTATCCCCTAAATTTATCATAAAAAGCCAGTTGTGCAATGCCTGCAACATCCTGTGCTGTTTCTCCAACAGTAGCCTTCGTCCAAAATAATTTTCAACGCTTGAGACTCACTCAACGCTTCACTCACCATTATTCTTGTTGATCGTGTACAGTCTATCGTACAAATACGTATTACTTATGAAGCATTGCACGGTATTTCCTATTGCCATAACAGCAACAAAACCTATCCAGATGCGCAAAATGTTCACAAACTTCAGTGTACCAGTCATCTTCACACACTCTAAAATAGCAGTAGATTCTAGATATACAAGAGAATAAAAAGCTCAAAGTATGAGAAGGGCTTTCGGAAGCTCCGCACTCGAAACTTGAAACTGACACTGACTAGACTAGATAGAATCTAGATATAGATCTAGATCTAATGTGAAATGTGGGCCGGGGCCTAGGCCTACTTTCGTTTTCTCGTCCAGTGTCCACTTCACACTATTTGTAGCTGTCGCAAATAATTGTACCATGTTACTCGGTAACACACAACTAACTTACAGCAACATTATTATGATTTAATAACATCGTAAATGGCATCTTTAGCTTAGTCCAATCAACACTAAACAAAAAATTGCTGCAAACTCATTAAAAAACAGCAAAACTATCAACTTATGAAGTTTTATCATAGCCGCAAAATAGTTGAATAATTCTCTTTTCCGGCAGGCGGCAACCAAGTAAACAATCTTTGCACTTTGCAGGCCTTCCAAGGACCGAGAGGCCAGTGTAAACCGCGACTTGCCGAGTAGCCAGCGATCTAGGCCTACCCTTTGTTTAGGTTTAGAATTGATGTTCAGCACAGGGATCTCTTGTTCTCATGGAAAGCCCAGATAATAGATAGAGAATGTGCTGTCTGCATTCTCAAAATTAGTAAATCGAGGTGCGGGCGCGGTGGCTGTGTTGTCTGTTGTATTGTAGTCTAAGTCTAGAGTTTAGAGTAGACCTAGATCTAGATAATCTAGATCTAGACTGTAGATCTAGTTCGCCGTTGGCTGTTACTAGATCTAGATCTAGATCTAGATCTAGATATAGTGACTTAGTAGTGATAGTGTTACTTTTACTAGATCTAGATCTAGATCTATATCCATATCTAGATCTAGAATCTAGATTAGATCTACTTTTTGGGAAAGTGGAAACCCAGAAATAAGCGGAAAAAAGAGGATATTAACTCAATCCGTGCCAGGGTCAGTTTCACATCGCTGTACCACACGGGGTGCTCAATTTGAGGGCTAGGTCGACAACAGTCAGTAGTAACAGCAACTCACTATGAGGGTGATATTTAGTTATTTTGCATAGGCTTATATTTTGGTAGTGTCAATTGTGACCGGATCATCCGGTCGGAACTGACACTGCGTCAATTGTGACCGGAGACATAGCCGAAGACGTACGCTGCTCTTCTTTCGTGAAAGTCGGTTTTCACATTTTGGGCCAAATATAGAAGACGTATTATCTATTTTTTGTCATCTTCCGGGGCTTGCCTCGCCAGTTGACTTGGGAAGATTGAAGAATACCGGACCACTCGTATTATTGCGCGAGAATGGGGGGGGGCGGAGGAAGGATTAGGGGAGGGGGGGTTCAGGAGGGTCTCCCCCCTGACAAACTGCTAACGAATAGATCTAGGCTACCGGTCTGAGATTTTTCATTAAGAGAGATTAGAAACTGGGGAAAATCATGAATTCCTGAGGTTGTTGAGACATAGGCAAAAGTAGTCCTAATCCTCTGGTCCAGTATCCTTCAATCTTACCGTTGACTTTGGCTAGCAATGCCAATCGCCCGCGGCGCCTTGGGCCGGAAATCGGCCTCCGCGCGAGGGGTCATTTTTGGGCCGCTCGGAATCAGAAGTGACTCTCTTTTAAGTATAGTTACGGGAAAACTCGAGGACGAAAATAAATGAAACTCGGGAACGAATCAGAGGAAAGGTGAAACTAATGACATGCCAGTGTACAATCCCAAACGATTTCTAGAACCGGAGAAATTGCCGTGTATGTGTGATGATCCGGTCGAACAATTGACGCAGTGTCAGTTCCGACCGGATGATCCGGTCACAATTGACGCTACCTTATATATTATCAAATGTCATACATGTATAAAATAGCGCAGTGACTACGTAGGCCTACTACGGTGCCATAAACGTAGAATCTAGTTTTCAGGCTATGTTCACGGAACCCTGAATTCATCCACCATGGGCAATGGCACAGATAACGACTGAAACGCTACTGTCGCTCAAAGTGATTGAGGAAAAAGCACAGGAATACTCGCTTGAAAAATTTAACGCAGCAGTGGTTTGAATGTAACGGCGAGGGCGAAGGCGAGCTTAGCAAAACAGCCGGGGTCGACAAGGCCCGCACTCAGTCATCGTGCCGAACACGACTTCCATCCTCTTCCCGTGTGCGGATCCGGCAATGCTCGACAATTTGAAAATAAAAATCATTAGAAGAAACAAGGGAGAGGTATGGAAGAAGACCTAGGCGAGAAAAGGTGGGGTGGCGAGGGGGTGATAAAAAAGACAAAGCAAGATTAGGCGAGGGGATGAAGTGAACAAGATCATTCTTGAATTGCAAGCTACATTCAGATCGCCCTGAACATATAGCCTCTGTGCCAATGGTGGATGATTCGAGTCGCCGTGAACGGACTAGGTATAAAAATAAAATACCGAAATGAAGGAAAATTAACTTACACTGACTAGCATTGCAAAAGTGAATGAAATAGTGTGAATAAATGGCAACTGGAAAAACAAACTTCCAACACGTCGAAGATCATCGACATGAATTTGCACAATCATTGTAATTTATAATTATGATCCATCATATGGACTAGCGGCTTAGGGGGATGAATTAAATGTTTAAAAATTAAGTGTTCTGTGGTCTGCTGGGGAAATAATAGAGTAAAACGCATAGAACTTGCTGTCAAGCAGGGGTATGCGCTGTACAAATGCTATTTAGTATTATTAATGTATTTAAATGTTTCTATTTTCCATTGTTGATAATGGGCACATTCACTGGTAGATTAATAACGTTCAGATTTCAGGGCACATTTCATTAATCACAGGGTTCCTTTAAAAGGTTTATAATTGAGGGTATATAAAATCTATCATATAACGAAAATACGAAGTAATGAATTATGTCATTTTATTTTTTATTAGGCTTGCTGCATATATAATGCCTTAAGAGTAGACCCACCATACTGCCTTGCCTTTTCCTTTTGAACTGTAGCTCCTCAACGTCTTTTAAGTTATTGTTTTGATCGGTCATATATTCACCAAACTGCATTGCACAAGGGTCAGTGTCAATAAGAGGGAGGAGTTCTGCACAGGGCCAAGGTCTACTGAGTCGCTAAGCCAACTATACAAGGGTTAGGGTTTAGGGATTGGGTTTAGGGTTAGTGGTTAAGGTTGAGGTTAGGGTTAGGGTACACCCCGCTCATTTTATTCCCTCTTTTATATGTTATTGGTCGGCCGGCCCTCTGCGGAGCTTCTTCCCAATAAAAACTATAGCTATCGTTGATTGTGTAAGATTATGTGTGCTATTACTGCTACCACAGTGTGTGCTTTTGAGGTATAGGGAAGGAAGGAACATTTTTTAAAGAAAAAAAGGTGCAACATTAAATCATCAAATGATCAAGTTGACTGTCTCAGCGTTGTGACACAGCTGTATAGATTGCCCCGCCACTTCTGTTTTTGTTACTTTGTTCATGTTTACTCTTTTCATTTGCTTTTCCTCAGGTTGGCAGAAGGCCTTCTTCCCAGACGTTAAAGAACTATACCATGTAGCATTTACAACTCAACTACAGCAGTCACAGAGAATATAAGTAATTGAAAACACAAAATATCATACCGTTGTGTCAACAAATTTTTCCTGTTTTAAATATATATATCCAATTATAGTTTTGCGGATTAAAAAAAATATTATATGGCAATTTGATGTTTTCTCTTGAATTTTGAGATGTGTATATTGTGGTGCATATATATATAGTCTCTTGCTACAAGTCTCGGACTCGCAACCATAAGGTCGTGGGTTCGAATCCCGTCAGAGGCCCGACGTTGTGTCCTTCGGAAAGGCACTTTACACGAATTTCCCTCACTTCACCCAGGTGGGAATGGGTACCCAGCTATAGACAGTGAAAGATCTTGTCAGTTTGTTAGTGTTTGAGCGCTTAATCAGCTGCTTGCACTGTATGCTTCCCGGGGAGCTGAGAATGTTTCGGAGTGTTCTATGGTCTGCTGGGGTAATAATATAGTGTATATAAAGCGCATAGAGCCTGCTGTTGAGCGGGGATATGCGCTATACAAATGCTATCTATTATTATTATTATTATTATTAAATTCATCAATATATGCTTGTGTGCTGGTGTTAGAATAGTTAGATGTTTGAAATCATTTAAAACAGTTATTTGTGTGCAATGTAGTCTAAGTTCCTTTTCTTGACGCTACAAAGAAATAAATTGGGTTTAGAAATTGGTCTGGATAATAAATTGGCCCTTTTGGTTCAAATACTTAGTGAATTTTGAATTCGTGATGAACAAAAATTTAGTTGTGTGCTGTATAGATTTTGTTTAAGTAAAGTTTTGAAACAAATGTGTTTTTTTTACTTAATTCTTTTTTCTTTTTATTATCAAAGATCAATCTGTATCTCATACTTTGCAGCTTATTTTGATGTACTCCTGACACTCGTTATCCCACTGATTTTTAGAATTAATATTAGTTTGAACTTTCACTTCATAATCCTTTGATGTTGAAATGTGGCTCCTGATCCTTTGATTGAAACTTGTATGATGTCCTTGGCTTCTTTTGCCTCCTTTTCTCCCCCTCTTTCCCTCATATTTGATAAAAGCAAAGAAGTTATACTGTACATATTATGGCTGTGGAAAGTACATGCATGGGTCTTGATACATGTTTGTCACGCGGATCTTTCTGTTGAGAATTTATCTTAATTGTTGGTAAATTATATTTCTTTTCCCAGTGAAATCTGCTGCAAAAGTGCTAGGTTTGAAGGAAAAGGACGAGACCCATGAAGAAAATGGTGTCCTATTCTGGGTAAACAAGAGTGGTTTCCCCATTGATGAACAAACGTGGGAGCGCATGTGGGACCATGTGGCCAAAATTCACCCAAATGGCCACGACATGGTCCGTAAAGTTCGCCATGGGAAGGATTTACCTCAGGTGATTAAGACTACAGATTAAAATATTAATTTAAAAAGCTTTAAAAAGCAGCCACCCAACCCCCCCCCCCCCCTCCCTCCTGTCAAACTACAACAACGAAATATTTTTAATACTGCAAATTGTCAGACCAGTCTAATGGTAAACCTTCAGCTAAACCAGAGACTTTTTGGTAGACCCTCAGCTAAACTGGCATCCAAACTTCTCCCCACCAAAGAGCGTGTTACTCCAGCACTGGTGAAATGTTGTGCATGGACTTGTACACTCTTAGGCCTACTCTAATGCATGCATGTTACATATTTATTTTCTTTATCTTCTTTCTTCTTAATTCTACATTATGCCTATAGGTCAAGTGCATAGAATTTGAAATGACTAGTCGAGCGCAGCATTATATCGTTATCCTTATACAATTTTTTAAGAAATTAATGTGGTATCAATGTTGCCAATGGACATCCTTGAAATGACACCTTTGATTCATTGTTATGCCATTGTCTGCTGCTTCCACTTCTTTCCAATATTACTGTTGCACACTTTTCTGCTGATAGCTATATATATTAAATCACATGCATTTTCATGCCCACTCACCCTATGCAGTATCTCAATAGATAAACAACTCTTAATCTGTATCACCTGTCCTGAGCAACAATGTCATTGCACACCGGACAGGTCTATAAGTGCTCAGTTCCCCCCCGCACCAAAGCCTGCAAGGTATCCATACTGATTGTTCCGGTGGCCGTCTGATTATGGCGACGTCTTTCATTTCCACATAATCGTTCCTTTCTTCCTTCTCCCCTCTCTATTCCCATTTCCCGCATCCTAATGATTGCGTGGTGTTCTGCTGTCTCCCTGTCTCCTTCATCCCGTTACTTTTTCTCCAGGGTCTTCAACCCTTCAACTCTTAATCTGTGAACTATTTTAACTCTTAATCTGTGAACTATTTTAACTCTTAATCTGTGAACTATTTTAACTCTTAATCTGTGAACTATAAACTCGACAGATACCTGCACCACAAGCCCCACTGTCTTTTAGCCCAACGCTTTCCATACCAGAAAGGTTAAAAAAGATTCAAGATTACATGAAAGAACTACAGTATCCTTTACCTGATTCTGGGAATGTGATTTGTTCATCGTTGTTCACCTTGTGAATTAACATAAGGATATTTAGGAAGAATGCTTAGTTAAATAAAATTCTTTCTGTCAGTTTTGACTATAATTGGGTTCCTTGATGACTGCACAGATATAATCACACAGGGACCCAGTTTTTTGAAATACGAAAAAACCGACCAGTGTCTGGGTAAGTAAAATGATTTTGAAAAAAGAAAGGAACTTTTTTTTTTCTGTCCTTATGAAAATAAATTTGTTAAATGATGTGGCACGAGAGAGGTATCAGAATAAGATTTTTAAAGTAAGTCTGAGACCTCGCCATAGGATATTTCATTTCTTTTAATTATATTAATTTTTCCAATTTTGCAGTTCAGTTTAAAATGGGTAGAAGATTTGGAGTAAAAGGTTAGAAGTTCTAGAAATTGGTCATTTTTCTTAGCTGTGAGTGAATTTCACCTCTCTCACATACACAGGCTTCCATTGAACTGTTCTGAGTTGATTTTTTAAATCTTTTTTTTAGATCTGATGTTTATCGCTTTTCTTTTTCACTTCCCTTCAGGTTAATGGAATGTGCCAGGGAGATGATTCGAGAAGCTTTACCCATCAAGTGTTTAGAAGCTGTGATATTAGGAATGTATCCTTTGTGCATGAATTTTAATCTTCACGGTGTTCTGTCCATATACAGTGGAAACCTGATATAACAGGGATGGTGAGAAAAAGTCCTGTTATATCAGATCCCTGTTGAATCAAAAATGCAAGGGAAGTAAGCATCTGTGGACTAATCCAGCTGTAATTATTCATGGGTAGTTTCCCTTCCACAAGTACCCACGAATTGGGGTTTTGTCCTTGTGGCAGACTTGCGCATGACACATTACGCGTGTGTGTAGCTAGGCTTAGGGCTAGATCAAAGTCTGCAGCACACCGCAACTCTCTCTCGCTTCACCCGCTGCATGAGCTAGCAATGGCGTGGCTTAGGTGAGCTTGCTCCATCACTGCGTTTCTCTCTCTCTT